CCAGCCTGAGCAATTTAGAGAGATACCTATCTCAAAAAACAAAAAGGGCTAGGGATATAGTTCAGTGGTAAAACACCACTAGGTTCAATCCCCAGTACCTAAAGTAAAACAAAAAGACACACACACACACACAAACAAAAAACCACCCAAAACATACAAAAAAAAAACCTCCTGTAATGTTTCATAACTGCTTACTAAAGAGGGAGAGGAACTACCTCTAGTAAGTAATCTAGTAGGTTAGTTCGGAAAAGTAAATGAGAGAAGTAAGCCCTGCGAATATGAAGTGGGTAGAAGTACTTTTTAATTTCCACAAAGAAACATTCTCATCTCTTTTTTTTGGTTCCGGGGATAGAACTCGGGTCCTTGCACTTGTGAGGCAGGCAAGGGAACCACTGAGCTAAATCCCTGGCCCCTCTCATCTCATTTTTGTTTTCCTATTTTTATTATAGTTATTACAATAAGAAAACAGTGCAAAAATAATGACAAATGGTGACTGATACTTGATGTTAAGTGTCCATGAGACAAAAGGATATCTGGGGATTATGGTAAATAAAAATGTAGGCCGAACCTCTTTGCAGTCCAGGCTGGCCAAATTTTTCATGTGAGAATAAAATCCCAGTGCTGCCAGAAATTTTTGACTTCTTAAGATCTAAATATGGATTGTTTTTCTTTTTTCTTTTTCCTTTGTGATGCTGAGGATCAAACCCAGGGCCTTAAGCATAGCAGGAAAGCCAGCGGACTATCCTCTAAGGAAGCCCCAGGAAGGGGAGCTCTACTCTAATCTCTCAAAGAGTGTATTGTTTCTCAAGTGGCTAAGTGAATCTCCAGGTATGTGTGCGAAGCCTACCCTCCTCTAAGGGAGTCCCCCAGAGGGCTCCAACCCGATCTCCTGGGCTCAAATGGCTAAAGGGCTTCACTCTGTTCTCTTCAGAGTTTGCTTCTCAAGTGGTTAAGGGAGTCTCAAGGGTAGGGGCTCCACCCTTCTCTTTAAGGAGTCAGTGGGCCAATGCACCATGGGAAACATCCTGCAGATAACAGAGACCTCATCATTAGGCTGTATCCTTAAAAACTGGGAATATATGGGGCCGGGGATTTAGCCCAGTGGTTTCATTGCCTGCTGAGCAAGCGCAAGGACCTGAGTTTGATTCCCGGTACCAAAAAAATAAACAACAACAAAAAAACCTGGGAATATTTGACCCTGAAGGAGTCATAGTTGGTAACAAGGTGTGGAGATTTCTAAGGGGAAAAAAAATAAGAGGGTACCAGTTTTGCTCGACATCTGGTAGTACAACTGAGTCTCATGGAAAATGCTCCAGGGACTCAATGGGCCTACATCCTTCTGTGGGCGATGCCCTGTGAAGGACCCCAGACCTAGTATTTTCTCTCTCTCATAGGCCCCACACAGGTAGCTAGTTGGAGCCCTGAGGGCTCCGCCTTTGTCTTTAAAAAGTTATCTTCTATTGTCTGGGTCCAGAACGAACTAAGAAATAGCAAGTCAGGTGCAGAATGGCAGTCTAACTTACAATACTATTCTTCAGTTAGATCTTTTTTACAAAAGGCAAGGAAAGTGGTGTGAAATCCCTTATTTTCAGCCTTTTATGGCTCTTTATCTCTGGAAACAACCAAGGACTTGATATCTTTGATAATTCTGTCTTCAGATGCCTATCTATCTCTCATGGGGATATGGGACTCTCCCACCGGTTTCCATCAGAGTTTAGCACACTATATAGATCAAGTATTTCCAAATATGACTCAATTGCTAGACATAGCCTTTCTCTGTGTTCAACAACTGGGATCCAGATGAAGATGAAAGAAGAGCCATAATTATAGCTGTCACAACTGGCAATGCTTTAATCACACCCAAGTCATCTAAGAGAAAACCCACGGACAATCAAGGAAAGAGTTCCTGTTTTAAATGCAAGACAACTAGGTACACAACCATACCAAGCTACTGCCTGGGCTCTGCTCCAAGTGTCAGGTGGTTGATGTGCCTGACTCATGGCACTAAAGTCACTCAGGGACTAACTCATGTCCCTGCTCCTAGACAGGGGTAGGCCATCCAAAACCCTTCTGCTCTGATGAAGAGGACTGAAGGGGCCTGAAGCAACCTGCAATGCCCCTGTTGACAAACATCTCTCATCTCCTGTGAGAAACCCTGGGTGACCCTGGATTCATGGGTAAGCAATTTCATTTCCTTTGGCTTCTATTTTAACTTCCCTCTCTGGAAAATCCTTCTCTAGATCTATAGCCATAATTGGGCTGGAGGGGAGCCTTAGTCAGAGCTTCTTCACTCCTGCTTTGGCATGTCAATTCAAAGGTCAAATGTCCATCCATGAGTTTTAATTGTCCCACCATGCCCTACTCCCTTACTAAGAATGGATTTACTAGAAAACTGGGGACAACTCTGCAATTTTGGTAAAGGCCAAAGCAGATTTTACCTGTTGAGACTAGTACACGCCATGCTTCTAGACACCTTAGGTTACCATAAAGACTTACACTATTCTTACCTAGGTGTAATGGCACACTCCTGTAATTCCAGCACTTGGAAGGCTTAGACAGGAGGACTGGTATGAGTTCAAAGTCAGTCTGGGCTACAGAGTGAGTTCAAGGCCAGCCTGAACTACATAGCAAGACCTTGTCATCCTTCCTTCCCCAATTATTGCACTATTCTTTTTTTTTTTTTTTTTTGTACTGGGGATCAAACTCAGGACTTTGCACTTGTGAGTCAGGCGGCGGCACCACTGAGCTAAATCTCCGGCTTATTGCACTATTCTTAAGCCTACTTCACTGATGCTTTTTGGCTCAGAGGTTAGCCATTCTTGTGAAGATGTGATTTCCCAGACCTATGCGGCAGAGAGGACATCAGTGACCTGGCTATGTAAGACTCTCAGGAGGTGTGGTTCACTGATGGATGTAGCTTTGTTCAAGGGCACTGAAGACAGGTTATGCAGCTGTTAGTATGCAGTAGGTCACTGGGGCCAAACCCCTACCCTCAGGGATCTCTGCTCAAAAAGCAGGGCTCAGATCCCTTACTTGGGCATTGGTACTAGGAAAAGGCAAAAAGCTAAGGAGTTACACAGACTCCAAAAATGCCTTTCTGGTTCTACACACCCATGCATCAATATGGAAAAAAGGGAGCTTGCTAACTAATAAAGTAAAACACAAACAGGAATTTCTAAAACTCTCAGTAGTAGTCTATCTTCCCAAGTAAGTTGTTGTCATTCATTGCAAGGGACCCCAAAAAGACTCAAATGTCTCCTTGGGAAATCAAAAGGCTGGTAGAGAGGCAAGAAGGGCAGCCTGATAGCCCCTAAAGACACTAGCCTTATTTCTAGCTCCTGAAGAACCATTAAACTGATCCTTCCTCAAAGGATACAGTGGAAAGTTATAAAAACCTTACATAGGAAATGATTACTAGAATTTTCACAGGACTAGGACTAGCAGCAACCTCCTAACCAGTCTGCAAAGCTTGCCCGGTCTATGAACCTTGGCAAGATCAGACCACCTCCTTTATTAGGACCTGAATAGAGGAAAGGGGAATATTCTGGGGAGGACTGGCAATTATAAAGCCAGCTCCACCTGAACTGTCTGAAGAAAAAACCACCTAAAACAATAAAGCTACTCCTATGAACCTCTGGAAGACCTGATGTTCCTCTTCAAAAAGCAAGACTCCATTACTGCTCTGGGTGCAGATAAATAAATGGGCACTTGCATTGAGACTCCTGTTTTTAATTAGAACCCATGATGAGAGTAATCTTGCAAAGGCTATGGCTCTCAGGGTCTAGGTAATTTATCTAACATCCTTCTTTGCCATACTTTTTCCTCCAGAGAAAGTGTGGAAATTTGATCTGCACCTCATATTTGATCTCTACATCTCCAACTTAATAGTAAAGTAACTGTCCTGAAAAATTCACCAAGCTTTTTCTCATCAAACAGGCAGTTCAATAGTCCTTCATATATAGACACTAACTCTTTTCTCATTGTCTTCCAAGAGGTTTTTATTTCTTTTATACAGCCAGTGAGCCACAGCACCCCAAGGTAATTGGAGAGCACTTAATTTTCAGTAGATAGGGCCTACATCCATACTTGCTTGCTGTGTTTTCTGCTTTCTATCTTTCCTATAGTAATAATAATCTCCATATTTAGGCAGTGTTTTACACTCTTCAGTGTGTATTCCTTTCAATTTTTTTTTGTTTTTTGGTTCTGGGAATCAAATTCAGAACCTTGAACTTTCCAGGTAGGTGTGGTACCACTGAGCTAAATCCCTGGCCCTCCATTTTTTTTTGAGACAGGTCTCTCTATGTAATCCAGGCTAGCCCTGAACTCATTATGTAACCCAGGTTGGCTATGAACTCATGGAGATCCTCCTGCCTCAGCCTCCCAAGTGCTTGGATTACAGGTGTATGCCACCATGCCTAGCTGATCCTTTCAACTGTGATAGGCAGTCAGGAGATGAGGAAAAGGGCAGACAGTCTAATTTAAGGTAACTTGTCCAACATCACCATCAGCAAGGAGTGAGGCTCAGGTCTTGTGGTGACTCTGGTCAGCATCTATCCTTGAGGATTTCACTCCATCCTTGTCCCTCCTTATGTGTGCTTAAGTTACATCATCATCTAGAAACACGAAGTCTTTCTACTAATTCTTTTCTCATTATTTTTCAAGACCTGTTCAGATTCTACTGTCTACATAAAACCTTCCTCAACTAAGTTTCCAAGTTTTTACTCCCTTTTTTGAACTTCAGTTATTGTTATAGGTAATAACTTACAAACTACAGTGTTTATAAAGTCTTAAACTATCAAATTATTTACATCACTCCACATCATCTTATACCCACAATGAAATTCTAATCTCCTGGATGATGGGGTCACACCACTCTTCTTTCCTATTCTACACATATTTCCCAGCACTGAGCTGGAACACAAAAAAGGACTGTTTAATTAATGTTAGCTATTTTAGGCAGTCTTTTGAGGAAGACAGTTATGATGATACTATTAACTTACCAGCCTGATGTTGTCTTCTGGGCGAAGTAATATGAACATTGCTTGGAGATGCTGTTGGAGATCACCTAGTGAAATTTATAAAGCAAAGGATAATTATTCTGCATTCCAAATGAACACAGAGGGTTCCTTCTACTCTAATGACTTGTAAAGGAAAGTTCTGGTTTTAAAGAACTAATCAGATACAGAAAATAAATAATATAATTATTGATTCCTTTTTTAAATAGAAAGAGAATGGTAGGCTGTATCTTTAAATATTCACTTTTAGTCCACACATTAAAATTTGGGTTTGTCCTATGGCAGGTACACTTGAGACTAATCTCAGTTTTGTACAATGGTGAATGCTGATGAGAGATCTGTTGGTGAGATCTGGTAGGTATGCTTGCAGGACTATTGAAGGTATCAATAAAGGCATTTCGAAATGAGGTATATAATTAATGCTTGAAGAATTATCCTAACTTTAAAAAAGCTAATCTTTTCTTATTCTTATTTCTGTAATTATAATTTTCCCTTGGACTTAACCTAAAAAAATCATTAGAGTTCTCCCTAGAATAAAATCAATAGTTTAAAATAATTCCATATTAGTGTCTGATATTAAAATGAGAATGTATATTAAATCTAGCCTATTAGGGATATTTATTCTTCTAAACATATTAGGTGTTTTAAAATGGCCAACCATTATTTGAATTCTTACATTTTCTTATACCATTTATAAAAATAAGTTGAAATTTCTTTATATTAAGCTATCATAGATTTCCTCATATTACCTATTCTGTACTAGAAAATCTAAGGCTTCAGCAAACAGGAGACAATTAGAAAATGTGCTGTGATAAATGATGATGAGCTAAGAGCTAAAAACTTTATTCTTGCCCACCTAGGCCCAGATCTTTTAAGAATATAAGGTGACTGACACTGCCACATAATCATAGGTACCAGTATAACTTGTTCTCACATTAGTCTTAGAATCTACATATATTTCTTTCATGTTAATGTCACAGCTTTTGCTTATAACATGATATGTGCAAGAAGCGGAGAGAGGTAGGAAGAAAAAAAAAAGATTGCCAAGCAGGTGTATTTGTCTAAAAGGTCAGCAAGTCTGAAAGCCTTCCCCTCAACCTCCTTCTCCAGCAAGTCTGAAAGCCTTCCCCTCAACCTCCTTCTCTTAAAAAATAGTCTTCTTGCCCTATTCCTACTCCTGCCATTTTGCTGTTGGCTTCTAATTCCATTATTGCAGAATCTTTCAAATTTTAAAATTAAAAAGGAAAGTCATTATGTTGGCCAGATGCACTCTACTATATTTCAAACCCACAGACACAATCTAAATCTCATATATAAGATGCAGGGTGGATTCCTGGGTATAAACTCTAAGAAATGGAAATACATATCCACATAAAAACCTGTACACAAATGTTCATACAGCATTATTCATAATAACTAAAAGTTGGAAACTACTCAAACATTCATCACCTGATGAATGGGTAAAGAAAATGTAATATATCCATGTAATACAGTATTACTTGATCATGAAAAGGAATAAAGTAAGGTTATGTGTCACAACACGGGTGACCCTTGAAAACATTATGCTAAGTGAAAGAAGTCTATTTTAAAAGTCCTTTTATATGATTCCATTTATATAGACTATCCAGAATAGTCAAATCAAAAGACTGGAAGTAGATTAATAGTTTTTAGGGTATAGGGAGTGGGGTGGAAAGGGGAGGAATACTGAGTGATCGCTAATGGGTAATGGGGTTTCCTTTTTTTTTTGGTACCAGGGATTAAACTTGGGACCTTGTGCTTGCGAGGCAGGCGCCGGAACCACTGAGCTAAATCCCTGGCCCGTAATGGGGTTTCTTTCTTTCTTTCTTTCTTTTTTTTTTATGGATTATTTGGGATGTTTAATCACTGAGTCTTTTTTTTTTTTTCCTTTTGGTGCTGGGGATCAAACTCGGGTCCTTGCAGTTGTGCGGCAGGCGGCAGAACCACTGAGCTAAATCCCTGGCCCCATGGGGTTTCTTTTTGAGGGGATGAAAATATTCTAAAATTAGATTGTGATGATAGTTGTACAGCTCTGAATATACTAAAAACCACTGAATTTATACTTTAAATAGGTAAATTGGTCAATTGTCTCTTAAGCTGTTAAAAAATAAAAGAACAAGTGTGAAGAGAAAAAAATGTTAGACATAGATAAGGACAAGATACTAGAGTTACAATTACAAATGAGTCAAGCAGTTGAAGCTTTTTAAAAAGTAAATTAGGGCCAGGTATTTAGCTCAGTAGTTCTGGCACCTGCCTCACAAGCACAAGGTCCTGAGTTCTATCTCTGGTACCAAAAAAAAAAAAAAAAAAGTAAATTACCATTGTCTTACCAGAAGAAATAACCAAGGAAAAGATTTTTTCAGGATACAAAAATTCTGGAAGAGAACCCTAGATACTTGTTAAAGTACTCACTCTAGATGCTACTGGTCCATAGGTCTAGCTAGCTTATTGAAGGTCAGACAAAAGTCAGGAGTACTACTCTTACAGTAAGCCTTCTTACATGAACTGGGTATGTTTGCTAGCTATGAAAAGTATTATTATGAGCAAACTGAATATTATTTGCTATTGGGAAATTGTTCTTCTCAGAGACTAACAGAGGTAATAAACCAGTACCTCTCACATTTTCTCATATATCTTCACTGATAGTATCTAAATTTCAGATTTGCTTGATTTTAAGGACTTGTCATCATTTTTCTTTAGAATATTGGCAGATTTTCATCCTATAATTTCTTCCTTTTTTTTTTTTTGTACCGGGGATTGAACTCGGGTCCTTGCGCTTCCGAGGCAGGTGGCGGAACCACTAAGCTAAATCCCTGGCCCTATAATTTCTAATTGCAAAATGGATACATGCCTGTAATCCCAGCACTCTTGGAAGCTGAGGCAGGAGAGTTGCAAGTTTGAGTCTAGCCCGGGCAACTTAGCAAGATTGTGTCTCAAAGAAAATTTTTTTAAAGGGGCTAGGAATGTAGCTCAGTGTGAAGACCCTGCATTCAAACCCTAGTATCACAAAACAAAACATTAAAATCCTATTTGGATATTTTAAATGCAACCCAGATAAAAAAATTCTAACCCATTCAAGCAACATGCATAAGACAGTACAATTAGACTTAGCACATTTTTTATTTACTCTCTATTCTGCCACTAACTTTCAATTTCTGTTAGCTCAGCCAAGGCAGCTTCAATTCATGTGAAATTGTGAATTTTTTGAGCTGCATTTATACTTATACTTCCTCATCTGTCCTGGTCTGGATCATAAATCAAGCTTATTTTCTTTTTAGTATAGGGAAAGCTAAGTGAACAATCTGTTTTTCTTTTCAGTATAGGAAAAGCTAAGTGAACAATGTCAATTGTTCCAACTGCCAATGAGTGGCAGTTTGAGTGTAAAAGTCTGATCACAGAATAGCCAACCAGGGCCAGGAGCTTTAAAAGCCATGGACCCCACTTACTATTACATGCCACAGAGCAATTCACCTGAGATCTTGTCAGATAAGCTGGATTTATACCAATAATTTATTTCCTTTTTACTGTAAGTGACACATATCCACACCCAACAGAAATACAAAGCTAGCTAAGGTCTACCTCCTTTGTGCATTCAAATTTTTTTGGGAAGTATCCTCCTCTGCTCTCCCAGCTCAGTTGTGGCCCGGCATTAAGGAGAAAGGGTTTACAAAGTATAACTCAAGCTAATTTTCAAAACATTTTTTCCTCCTTACTTTAAAAACTTTTTCTACTGCCAAAGAGTATTGGTGGGAGAATAATAGTGTCTAACAAAATGGATTGTAATTCTGAACTGCTACATTTGTAACTTGATAAAAGCCCAAACAAGATAAAGACCACTAAAATAGCTGAGATTATCTTGACTAAGAGCTAACTAAACTACTGGATCAGTGGGATCCAGTATTTCTGGCTTTTATCACTGACCTACACATTCAATGTTTACAGTCTTCATTGTTTTCTTCCTGGTAACTAATTTCTTCTACTTCTAGAGGTCATAAGTTATCAAAAGGCATATTTATGACAACAAGCAATTATTTCTTTGCATAGTATTGATCAAAATTATTATTTTTAGGTTGACTTTCATTTGTCTTCAAAATGACATAAACAATTCTTGCTGGTAGAAGGGAAAAATCAGGCTATTTATCTTCCAAAGCTGTGGATATCCTATACTGACAGGCCTTTCTCCCTAGGACATACTTTCTATGATTTTTTTTTTTTTTTTAGTTCAACACTATAGGTGCACTTGACTTTAGAGAAACCAGAAATAAGGAAATGCAATATATATATACTACCATTAGAGGATATTTCAAAACTACATTTTACACTCACTGCTTGAACAATTATTTGATGACAGCTTGTTTATCAAAATCCTCCAGATTAAATTTTTAGCCTTTTATTGGGTATACATTCAAGAAGCAGATTCTGGCATGTAAGAACAAATATTTTAATATGTGATATATAATGTGATGATATACTTTATGAGAGTACTTTTGTACTTTCTCATTGTTATTCCAACAAAAATTTACTGAACATCTGCTATGTGTGAAAGGCATTCTGACAAATGCTAGAAAAATGGAAATAGCGGAAAGAAAAGTGATCATACAGTGGTACAATGCTTTCTTTCACTATTAAAAAACAATTGGTGGCGGGGTTGTGGGGAGAAAGGAACCCTTCTCCATTGCTGGTGGGAGTGCAGACTGGTGCAACCACTGTGGAAATCAGAATGGAGATACCTCAAAGAACTAGGACTAGAGATCTCATTTGACCCAGCTATTCCTCTGCTGGGTATCTTCCCAAAAGAATTAAAAGAATCATACACCACAATGATATATGCACACCCATGTTTATAGTGGCACAGTTTGTAATAGCTAAAGCTTGGAAACAGACCAAGTGCCCATCAACTGGAAACTGGATAAAGATGTGGTATTTTTAATAAAATGGAGTACTACTCAGCCATAAAGAATGAGAAACTACAGACATTTATAGCTAAATGGATGCATATTGACGCAATACTCTTAAGTGAAATAAATAGGACACACATGAATAAATACCAAATAGTTTCTCTAGTGTGAAACTGAAAGTGTAAATAAGGGTTAAAATGATTAAAATTAATAACTGATAATTTGAAATAAGAAGAAAAGGTCCAAAGGGGTAGGGGAAGAGGGAGGGGAAGGGGAAAGGAAAGAGGGGAAAGGAAAAATTATGAGAAAAGAAAAAAAATGGAAATGAAGTCTATGTAAATAGGGAAGGGTGGAGGGGATGAAGGGCACACAGGGAATGGGAAAAAATAAGAACCAAGATACATCATGTACAGATACAAGTTCCCAATGATAAATGTAAATGTATTGTATACCTGAAATGTACCAATAAAAGAATTTAAGGGAAAAAAAAAACAATTGGAAAAATGGGAATGATGAATTCAGCTTCAGGACAAAAGACAAGGTAATCAAGATGATGTGTGTGCAGCTTTACCTGCATGCTTGTTACGTCTGTGGCTGATTCTCGGTGTGGACGAGCCATTTCCCCGTGGTAGAAAAAGTGCAGCACCTTTGACAGTTAAAAAGCTCTCGCTGATACTATAAGGAAAAAAATGTCAAAAGGAAATAAATTAAAAGAACAAAATTAAGGAGGACAATGGAGACCCTCTTTAGGATTATTCTCTCTTCCCTATTCCATATTTTCAGTATCACAGGATGAATTAAGAACAAAATCAAGACAGACTCTGGTTTCCTATATACAGTATAGCCCTATCTATTACAATTTTTTCTGAAGTAAAAGTTATAATATTCTATATACATTATATGATAGCAGTTAAGAGTGAAAACTCTGTAATCAAATAAAAGGGTAATGACTGTGGAGCCAGACTACCTGGGTCTGAATCTAGTCTGCCACTTTTTTTTTGGTACCAGGATCAAACTCAGGACCTTGTGCTTGTGAGACAGGTGGCGGAACCACTGAGCTAAACCCCCAGCCCTTAGTCTTCCACTTTTTACACCTGAATGAACCTTTTTGGGCCTAATTTTCCTTGTCTGTAAAATAGGGATAATAAAAGAGGTTGTGTGACTTATGGTTATCACTAATGATGTTTATCAATAGTGTCCTGTCCTGATCTGATTATCATCTGATGTGAAGTGTTTCAATACTTAGTTACTAATAATAGATCCAGAGTTTGCAAAAAGGATTTATGTTTAAAATACACATATCACATTAAAGTGTTAGCTCAGAATTTTACTCTCATCAAATAGAATAGTGGTTATGTGAGGCTGGGAAGGATGTGGGGGAGAAGGATATAAAGAGAAGATGGATAACAAGTACAAGAGTACAGCTGGATGGGAGGAATAACTTCTTTTTTTTTTTTTTGGTACTGGGGATCATACTCAGGACCTCAAACTTGCCAGGCTGGCGCCGTGCTGCTGAGCTACATCCCCAGCCTGAGAGGAATAACTTCTAATAGCCTATAGTACAGAAGGATTATGAATAACAATAATTAATTATATTATTTCAATTTAGCTAGCAGAGGCAATTTTGAATGTTTCCAACACAAATAAATGATAAATATCTGAGGTGATAGATAGGCCAATCACCTTGATCTGACCATTAAACACTGTATATTTGTATTGAAATGTCATCACATTATACTTCATAAGTATGTACAACTGCTGTATGTCAATTAAAATTAAAAATGTATTTAAAAATTTTATTCTCATCAACTTGTATCTCACATGCGCTGAAAAGGAATAATGCACCGGAAGTATGTTTAACCCCCTAGACTTTGTCCCCCATGTTTACATTATCATTCATGTAAGTGATAATACATGTGGGAAGGCAGGAGGAGTTGTGGATGCCTGTAAACCCAGCACTGTGGGAGGCTTGCAAGTTTGAGGGACACCCAGACAACTCAGCCATTTAGTGAGACCCTGTCTCAAAAATTAAAAAAGGGCTTAGGAAGGAGCTCAGTACCACAAAAAACAAAAACAAATACAAACAACAATCACCACCACCACCTAAACTGATAAGGAATTATTGCTCAAGATAGAGGTTATTTAAGGTATAATTTCAAGGGGATATTCATAGAAAATATCTAATTTATTTCATATCAACAGAACAAACAAGACTTTCAATGTTGCCCACAGAATCTGATAAAGGTTAGAAATGTTAAGTCACTAATGGTAAAATCTGGAAACACAAAATGGAGGATTTTGAGTTTGTAAGTATGGTTACTGCTATTTAAGGTTAGCTAACATATTGTGAATGACACTGCCTATTCAATATTTTCACTTGGAAATATAATTGGCATCTTAAATTTACATTGCCAAAATGAAATTCTTGGGCTGGGGAAATAGCTCAGAACTAGGGTGCTTGCCTAGCATGTTTGAGGCCCAAGTTCCATCCTTAGCATTGCAAAAAGAACGCTAAACTTTTACACTCACCCTCTACCAACTGGTCCCTAGTCCACCCAACTGTTTGGAGGCAAATACATTATAGCCATCCTTTCTTTTTTTCCTGTAATATATATCTAACCCATCAGCAAGTCCTATGAGCTTTACTTTTAAACATATCTTTAATTTGCCTACATAGCCACATTATCACTATGACCATCATTTCTCACTATCACTACTTTTATTTGTTTGTTTTTTTTGATAGCCAGGATCGAACTCCGGTCCTTGAGCTTTCGGGGCAGGTGGTGGAACCACTGAGCTAAATCCCTGGCTCATTATCACTATTTTTAAAAAGCCATTTTAAAATAATTACATTATTACAGAAAATTTCAGACATATACAAAAATTAGGAAGAATAATATGATGAATCCCCCAGTTCCTCTCATGTTCTAGCTTTAATTTTATGGCTAATTTTGTTTCTTTTACATTTTCACCCCCTTTACCTTGATACTATATCAGCAAAAAGTGCAACAGGTTTATCTGCAGCTACTTCTTTTCCCCTACTATTCACTCAGCAAACAGAATGATTAAAAAAAATATAGATCAGACAATGTCCCTTCTCTGCTTAAGACCCTTCCAAAGCTTCCCTTTATGCTTATAAATGAAACACCAATCTTGAACTTGGTCTTCTATGCCCTTCTAGCATCCTACAGCAAGCTACTTCTCTGATCTTATATTATCTCCCCTTTTGTTTAATATAAACTAGTTGTACTGTTTTCAGTATTTTAGGCCCCCTTCTCAGGGCCTTTGTATCTTTTTTTCTCAACTTGGAAGATTTTCCTCCTAACTTGTAATTATTTTTTTTTTGTATTAAATTCTTTTATTGGTACATTGTAGGTATACAACACAATTACATTTCTCATTGGGAATTGTACCTTTACATAA